TATTTTAATTGTATTTTAATTGTTATGAATTTTTATTGTATTTTAAATGTTGTAAGCCGCCCAGAGACCTTTGGGTAGTGTGGGCAGCATATAAATTATCAAAAATAAATAAATAAATAAATAAATAAATGAATATAGTCTATGGGTCAAATTACCTGGCACAAAGGAACCTCTTTTTATCTCTTGAAATGACAACATGAAAGAGGAAGATATTGACACAGTGTAGCTAGCACTATCCCCATTCCTGTCTGCCCACACTCCCCTGATGATGGCCCCCAGCATTTGGGTTTTTCTCTTCACACCATCCTCAAAACCAGACACCTCCCTTGCTGTGTATTTGCCTGGTGGATTATACCTTTAATAACCTAATCATAAAATACTACTAACAGCAGCAACATCTAGAATATAGAATTTCCCCTTGGCCAAAGAGTCCGTTTTGAGGAGGCAATGGTCACAGGAGGCAATAAACACCTCTCAGCTTGCTTCAGGTGGACTGTACCTGAGATAACTTCAGCCCAAATATATATATGGGTGGTTCATGTCTTCTCTCCATTTTTTAAAACTTAACCCAAAGTTAAAAAATGCTTTTTTAGGCAAATAAAAATAGCACAATAGTAAATAACACAATAGTTTTATTTCTCTTTGCTTAACAATGATCTAAATCTGGGACCATCCTTCAAATAGATCCGTGGTTGTGTTTTTGTGGTCTTTTGTAGATGTTTCCTGTTGTCGTCTCCTAATGAGACACAAGACTACTCTGAAAATAATAGAAATATCACTAATTGGGGTGTCCTAATTAAGGTCAGGTGATTGATTGGTACTACTCGCTCCATATTTTAAAAGAAATGGATTATTTTAGACATTACAGAATTTACACTGCAACACTGAGCAGCTTGAACTATCTCTGAGTTCACTTAGACTGCTTTTTATTGGTTAATTAGAAGATTAAGCGACTGAGGTTGTGGCAGTCAAATATTGCAGGAGGCATGATCAAAGGAAGGGGGTTGGCGTTGTGGCACAGGTCAGACTGCATCAAATGGAGGGGCCAGTCTAGACACGGGCACCGAAACTGACTGCAGCCTCTGTGTGATCATCTAATCCAAGTAGAAGTGTAAAATGGGCTACAAATCAAGCTGCAGTCAAATTGTTCCAATACAGCTTGTGAGTGTAGTCATACTGAAAGAAAACAAAAGACCTCAGATATGTAGAGATTCTTGACTTGCTTTTGCTCTGTTAACTAAATGGGTAAAACACTATGAAGGTAAAAATTAAAAGCAGCTTGCATAGTAGGAAGTGGATATCTTGAAACAGAAAATTCTTTAGTTAATTAGGGACACAGTACATTGATTTGAATTAGAGCCAGTAATAGTGAACATGTTTTAGGTCAACATTAGATAACGTGTTTGTTCGTTTTTTAAAAGTCTCCCGTAACAAGTATTTTCTGGTGGTGGTTTTGGTTTTATGTAGTCCTAATCAATTCAAGTGCTTGTTTTCTTTGCTTCAGGTATAAAGGAAAGAGTTACCGGGCCACAGTAGAAGTTGTAAGAACAGCAGATCGGGTGGCAGATTTCTGCAGGCAGACATGTATCAAGCTAGAATGTTGTCCAAATCTGTTTGGTCCCAAAATGGTGCTAGACAAGTGTTCAGAGAACTGTTCCATTCTGACAAAAACCAAATACAGTGAGTAATTGTATTATTTGCTCTTATAAGCGAATGTTCTCATTCATTCCTGAGCAGTGTATGTCAAAGTGGCTGGGAAGCATAATTCTCAGTAAATACACAGTATTCTTGAAATTGCTGTTTATACCACATTTTGTCTATGTAAAAAAACAATTGTACCATAATATATCAACAGGCTATCTTACTCTGACTCTGGTCTCTACATGTAGTCTTTAAAATAGATGTGGGCAACTTACGGTTCTCCAGTGCTGCACTGCAATTTACATTAGCCCTTTCTAGATAATCAGTGATGAGAGGTGATGTTGGTGTGATCTGCCAACATCTAGAGGGTCTTAAGTGTCTCTCTCCTACTATGGAGAGTTAGTGCAACAATACAGATAGCTTGTAAAATATATCTCTTCCTGTAATTTTCAGAGAGATTCCCATTAATTTCTGTGGGTATGAACCAACTGTGGTTGGTTATTCTAGTTTTTAATTTTTGCATCAAAGTAATCACAGAAAATATAAAATTGGATCTAAACGACTCTCAGGAAGCTGCTGTTAATTCCATAGGGAAAAGACTGATATTTTGTCTTCCATCCACCTTTGTAGGACCAGCAGAAGGTCCACTAAAACGATTTTGCAAAAGAGACAAATGCAGTATCCTGTGGCTGCCTTAAAGTGAAAGAAATTTCCCAGTTGTTATATACTGTACATCACTTCATTATTCTGCTCCTCATGAAGGAACACATTTCCCAAAATACTTTGGGCATTTTAATAAATATAGACACTCTGAGAGCCTTCATTTCTCATCTGGCTCTGTTTATTTTGTTTCCAGTGGCTGTCACCCTTTGTTACTCTTTAAAATGAAAACCAACCCTGTCACAGCCCCCTTCTATAACAGATCTTCGTGGTCTCTGTGAATGCATACTAATGGGTTAATCTGCGCCTGAGCAGAGGTTTCCGGAATCTTCTAGAGCTTAAAACCCGTTCACCAGGACCGCCCCCCTAGTGCACGTAGTCTGCCCGTCCTGGCTAGTGCCTCAGTTCCTTTTTGCCGCCGCTGAGGTTTCTACTCTCAGATGAGCTGAGTTCACCTCCTTCATTGAAAAAGGAATTTTCTTGTTAGAGATTTTCGGACAGTGAGAGTCTTTGTTATTCCTTCCTTCTGCTGCCCCCTCCTTTAATCTCCTTTATTTTTTTCTTTGTTTATGGCCTCCTCTGGACCGTTTAAACAGTGCACTTTGTGCCCCAATAAAATTCCATTCACCGATGGCCACAATTCCTGCCTTTTCTGCTTGGGCGAAGCTCACCAACTGGCTTCTTGCCCCTTCTGTAAAAAGTTTACAGAACTGGTACTTAAGGCAGCAATGCCTATGGTCTTATTTGTGGGAATGTTCCCCTTGTCCCGTACCAGTTATGGAACCTGCACCATCTTCTCAAGTCCTGGAGCCTCAGTTGTATCTTTGGTGAAATCAAAATCTAAGTCTAAGACCATTACTAAGTCTACCACGGGTGTTTCAACACCAAAATCAACACCGGTACTGAAGTCTCCTCCAGTACCGGACAAACTGTCCAAACCAAAGAAGCCTAAGAAATCATCCTCTGATTCTCGATCCTCCAAACACCAGAAGGACAAGACAACCTCTTCCATCCCTCTACAAGAGGAGCAAACTATTTGCCTCGATTCCATATCTGTGGACGATGACAATTATTTGCCTCCACCTTCAGGCCAACAACCCTTGCCTCTCTTGGCTCAGTCCCCCTCATGGGCTAATACCTCGGCTGAGGTTATGGTACTGCCTCATTATGACCACTCAAGCCCTCCAGGTTGCTCTGTCTCTGAGTGTCAGTCGGATTCAGCTTCCATCGCTGATTCTCAACCTCTGCGCAAGTGGACTCGAAAGGCACAGCATACACCAGAGACTGGTCCTACTGATGTCGACGCTCCACTTCCACAGATGTTGACAGGATTACTTGCATCGCATGATTGTCTTTCATGGTATCGTCATCCCAAGAGGATTACCCTCAATGAGGACCTGTGTATTATGAGCTCCCGCCACAGCGATACTGACACAATTGATACTGGTACTGGCGTCCCAATATGGAGGTCTATATGGAGCCTAAGCACCCTTAATACTCCTACTACTATTCCGATTCTGGCTCTGAATCTCCTCTTCTATACCAGCTGCAATACCAGGATCAGTCTTCCTCAGTAGAGGACTCCTTGATACCGGTACCGATACAGAGAGTTCAGCATACCTCCTCGCATCCCTCTTCTACCACACCGCTACCGAAACGTCCAATATACTTTTTGTTTCTCTGCACTTACCACACAGAGGGTGCCTGATCCCCTCCCAAACCATCTCTTAGTGGCTTGTATCAACCGTTTGCCTGGCATATCAGCTGGCTAAGCTGTATCTTCCAGTTTGAATTAAGGCTCATTCTACAAGGGCAGTGGTTAGTTCTGCAGCATTCCTCAGAGGCGTTTCTGTCCCTGATATCTGCAGGGCTGCTACATGGTCCACGCCAT